ATTGGACCTGGGATTACTAGTACGTTGGAAGATTGTATTTCGTTCTGTCAATCAGTGGGATTAATACCGTATTGTCCAAGTCAGCCGTGTTCCAATGGCCATCATAACTGGTACATGGGTAAATATTCAAGAGCGCAAGATAGTAAGTAATCGGTAGCATAATATAACCTCCGAAGGTAGTTTATAATTTTTATTGTGTTTGAGAATCAGGGGCGTTGTCGTTCGAAGGGTTGTAAATTAACTCGATCTATTCGTGACGGCACGTTCTTTTCCAATTCCAAGTTAACAATACAGCAGATACTGGATTTAATTTCTATTGGTCACAAGGTGAAGATACTCATGAACATCTTCGTCGTCATTGTAATTTCTCGAGTGAGTCCACTATAGTTGATTGGAAAAATTTCCTTCGTGATATCTGCTCTGAATTTTTTTTAAGGTACCCGGCCGAAATTGGGGGTGTCGGACATGTGGTGGAAATCGATGAAAGCGCGTGGGCGAAACGGAAATACAATCGTGGGCGGGTGATACAAAACCAGTGGGTATTTCGTGGAATTGATAGAGACACCAGGGAATGTTTTGCCGTGACTGTAGATCGTCGTGATGCTGGTACACTGTTGTCCATTATACAACAGTATATCAAACCAGGTACGTCAACTACATTTACATTTCTGCTCAATAACACTTAGTATAATTTTAGGTACGACGATTTACAGCGATCAGTGGAGAGCATATAGCTCATTAAATACAACCATTCATTAAATTTTGTGGATCCAGAAACAGCGGTGCGCACACAAAATGTGGAAAATATGTGGATGTGTGCGAAAAGAAAAAAGAAGAGTATGATGGGTATGTCGGTAACACTCCTACAAACGTATCTTACGGAATTCATGTGGCGACGAAAATTACGTAATACGTAGTCATAATACGCTCTTTGTTATTTATTATTTAATTCGTTTACTAGTTGTAATTAATTGGAATCTGTCAGTGTTATCTATTTATAGCTTAACTAGAGTCATCTATTAGTTGCGTTCTTAATTCCTTCTTTTGTTTATCCAATAATATATATATTTCAACCAATAGTTTTTTTTTCTTGTTCTGTTACATAGCTAATATAATCAGTCGCTAGATAAGGGTATGATTGTCGTGTAGAAGTACCCAGAGTATTCCCTAACCAGTTGTTTCCGACATAGTTTGATTTTATTGATGCTGCCGATTAAAAGTTATATAACTAAACGTTCGACCCATGACTCACTCCGAACCATGACCGTTAGATCATTTCTTGAGTAACGATAAAGTGGTATCTTTTATTTCAAAAGTAAAGAGTAAAGATATAATCCATATCTTTTCTTTCCTAAGAAAAAGGAGGCGGCACCTTTTCTTTTCCAAAAGAAAGAAAAGCGACATCTTTTCGATTTTCAAGAAAAAGACTTTTTTGCACCTTTTAAGAAAGTCTTTTTCTTACAAAAAGAAAAGATGTGGCTTCTTTCTTTTGGAAACGAAAAGGTGCCGCTTCCTTTTTCTTAGGAAAGAAAGATATGCATTATATCTTTACCCTTTTTTGTTGTAAAGAAAAAGAACTTTTTTTTTTAATAAAAAAAACTTTTATTTTGTTAATAAAAAAAAGGAGGTAGAAAAGAGAAAGTGCCACTCCTATGTTGGCTACATCATAAAACAGCTGAACACTAGAAAGTGCGATCGTTTGATGCACATCTACAACTACAATCTTACAACTTCTTGGTGTAAAGCAACAAACTAGGGCTAATCGTCGGAAATGCTGCCAAGAAGATGTTGGCAAGGAATATTATCGAGCTCTACTAAAAGATTCAGAAATGAACAATGAATCACCCACTGAAAAACTTTCAAAAAATTCGTCTGATAAAATCCGTGTTTTTACACTTTCTCCGCGAGATCGCGAAGACAAAAGCTCTGAGATGTTTCAAAAGGAAAAATTAGTTCCTTTTCCGCTAAAGTTCCGAGATTTTTAGCAAGTCCTCCATACTTCTAAAGTAACTTTTTTCAGATTAAGAAATTAGCAGTTGTATTTTTATTTTAGTACTAACTCTAGCCAAATACACGAATACCTTACTTTTGAGACATACAAAAGCACAAGTCTTCAACTACACGTTAAAAAAGTTTCCAACTTTGAAAACTACCAACTTTGCATATAGGAACACCCTATCCGAGCCGACGGGCCGGTGTAGAGAAGTGGACTGCGTAGTCGTGATCCCTATGGTGTGAAACCTTTGTACATTTAATAGGAATGCCACCTTTTTCCATAAAATTTCGACGGTTGCGATCCTATTGTTTCTCTCTACAAGACTCATTGCTGCTTTTTCAGTGGCGCTAAATTAGACCTATACTGATTTTTATCTGTTGCTGTAGTAATCTGTAAAATTTCAAGAAATTAAAATATTTAATGAGCTGCAATTGCCGAAAATGGAATAAACAGCTCACAGCAAAGTAGAATGATCATAGAAATATTAAAAGCGGCGCCAAACCTCTCATTAAAAGTCTCGTTAATTAAGTACGGCGCGAAACAGCCAAAAAGAGAGAACTCATTTACTTATGAGAGACGGCGCTCTTTTCTTTTGTTGTTATATCGCTTATTTAATGTTAGAACTGAAGAGTTCTAAAAATAATAATGAATTAAAATAAAAACTCTTTAGAAACAAAAAGTTGCAAAAAAACGACGTGGACAGTGATTGGACCTGTGACTACTCGTTTCACTAGTGCATGTCTTTAATCACTAGATCATGCATGTCACTATTGAAAGTATTCTCTTTCACTTTCTATTTTTAAGACATCTTGTACAGAAATGACTCCAAATATCAAAATTGAAAAATCGAAAATTTACTTTTTAAGGAATCAAAAGTTTTGAAAGTTTAATTTCAGTTTCATTCGACAGCTCGAATGGAGCTGTACAAGAAAAGTCTTTTTTCGAAACTTCACCTTTTGGTTTAAAAAAACAATTTCGACCCTATAAATTAAGATTCAATACAGTAGAAATTGTTTCGCTAAACCGTTGAGTCCAATGCCACCAAAAGAAACAACTTGATTCTGCTGTAAATAGCGTTTCTTGAGACAGTTAGTACGCTAATTTCACCATGTTTTACCGGGCTTTCTCTTCGGGAACATGATGCAATTCATTTCAAGCTCAGTTAAAAATTAAACTTAAGAGTACGCCTCCCTCTTTTTAGAAAAAAGTTTCGTAAGTTAAGCATGATACATAATAGAGTGAAGTGTTCTTTATAAAATAAGATGCTCTCGCTTGCCCATGATCTTTTGTTGCACAGATACGAACTTTTTAAACTTCGCAACCAGGGATATCAGATCTAAACATGAAAATCAGAAAAAGCTTGAAAAAAGAAATTCAAAATCAGAATACCTTAGAAGAAAAAAGAGCAAAAACGATACTAAACAATTTTCAAAAATCAGATTTTTTCTGCCAAAACTGGCATCATATATATGTATAGAACGAAAGTATAATTCCTTTAAAATAATATTAGAGATTTGATGTTTTGCAAGGAGCTGACTAAACCTTGTAAACAAAATTCACTACCGTGTATAGCTCTATCTGATTTTAAAAGTTCTGCGCAGCTCAAATTTATATATACGGAGATAAACCAAGGGGGAAAAAACAACACTACACTACACTACAAGAGATTTTCCATTACACCCCACCACATGTCCACTATATCCCACTACTTGTCCACCACACATTCATTACATGTAGTGAAAATTCCTAAAAGTGAGTAAGAGCGACAATAAAATATTTCTAGTGGACTATATCAATGCTAATGGTTTGTCTTTTCGTTTTTTTCCGTATCCGTGATATAATAATCCATTGTGAATCAGTAGTCATTTTGCAACAAACGAAATCGTTTTCTAATGAAGTTTTGACTAGACAAATAAAACCTAAGACACACGTTCTCAGACATACACAAACTAAAAATTCACAATATAAACAAACATAAAAGACTTCATTATGCATAATCCGGAACAAGAGAAAGTGTAGAGTTACTATAATTAGCGTCAAGCTAATTGATAAATAGTGTTTTCTCCTTTTCTATACTGAAAACAAACGCATTAGTTTAAAAAGAAACAAGTACATAAATAAGCAAACTAGAAAATGAAAATATTGCCACTCAGCCATACTTGTTTCTGGCCATGTGTAAACAACAGAAAAGAAAAAAAGAGAACAAGAATAAATTACTCCTGTTGTTTACCAGATTGTATCACACGAGTTAAGCGATCCGATGATAACTTAAATTGTTTTTCTGTTAAATACCAACAACTACTTTGTTTATGTAAACATGTTAATTTATCTTTTAGTTTAATTTCAAAATATTTGTATTTATTTTCATCCCTAACTGTACTTTTTAATCTAATACCTATTGATACAAAAGGAAAATAGATATAAACATAGGTCTTTTATCTCTTTAAAGTATACAGTCATGCAAAAAATACCATCCGTTCTCTTCTTGTAAAGCGGGTTATACATGCGAATACAGTAAACTGCAAAAATATCCAACCATCTAGAACCATTCTTGACTGCGTTTGCCTTGGAATAGTAAATCCAAAATGCTGATCACTTCAATAGTTTCAGGGCATTTGACTTCATGGTTTCAGAGTTATTTTAATTTTACTATATTGCCTTCAGAGTAGTGGAGATAATCCAGTGCGAAGTGTACAGTAACTTTTCTTCAACTATATATTCCATAACTTAGGTCCTTTACACATAAACTCGTAAGTTGGACTTTTCGCACCGACGAAGTTCATTTTCTTTCATCTCAGTATCACTCTTTTGACTTGAAACCTGCGTAGAATACTCTGTGCTAGTCATGGACTATTTGTACGACAGGACTATAATGGCTACTAATTGAATGAACCATGTATCAAACTAAACAAGCTAAAGGATCGTGTGTTAGGCGATCGATATTTTTTTGCGGTTTACTGTAGATAGGATTAAAATTATTAGTTCTGTTAGAGAAAAGAAAATGTTAAAACTGTAAAACAACATTTATAAAATCACCTGTATATTTAGACGAGTGTGCATTTGCAAAGAAATCTTGTGTTATGTCATTATCATCAATACGGTCGTCTTTTTCATTTTCATGATCATTCATATTTGATTCAATATCACCGTCATACGATTCGTCATCATTGCTGTTGCTATTTAAGCTATATTCGTCTTCCTCTTCATCTTGAGTATCAACGTTATCATCTGCTTCTGGTTCATTAAAATTAATTGATTGTGTTTCGTTTAAAGTATGCGCTGATAACTGTTGTTTGATTGATTCTGATAATTTATTCAAATTAAAACAACTATTTTCCATTAATACTTCTTTCATTTTAACATATTCAGCCATTGTTTGTGCAATTCTAAAAGCTTTTTCAATTAGAACTTGTTATTTTAAAATCATCATCGTCCGTCGATATTGATATCCTCTGCTGCAATAAACGTTTTACTTTATGATGAATTGGAAATATAAGTTGATTTTCATTGTTTGTCGCTTCTTCGGATTTGATTTGGTTTAAAATATTTAGTTTATTGATACGTTTAACAAACTGTTTTATCGTGAAATTGATTCTTGTCGAAAATGTTCCAGATAAAGCTCGTGCATTGCGGAAAGTATTTTCACATCGTTGTGAAGAAAATATAGCTATCACTTGCTGTACGTGGTAAAACTTTTTGTTTTATTAATAAATATAAATAAATCAATTGATGTGCATTAATTTCACAACAATAAAAAGTGTTTGACGTTATAAAGTAACATGAATCACTTTGGTTTTTCTTGTGTCTCGTTGTTGTATTTGGTGATGATGGTGGTTGTTGTTGTCGTGATGAACGCGTAAAAATCAACCATATTTTCCAAAATCTTATATAAAACACAGCAATCCACGCACAAAGTATACGTTGTTTTAGTGGTACGAATGGTTCAGTATAGGAACAAATTAATAAATTTAATAATAGTAAATAAATATATGTACCGTTGGTATCAGCATTTTTAGTTAATGAATCAAGTACAGATTCTGATGATATTCTTTGACAAGAAGCAAAATTTTACCTATCTCTCACATTCAAATCACATTTTGTGATACTGTGATCTAATTTATTATTTGTTTCAATCAATTGATATAAATGTTTAATTGAAATTTGATATGATCCCATTAATAACTTACATGTTGATGATAATAATCTATTTCTGATTTTGGTTGCTAAATGTATTCCATCTTGGAAATGAAGAAATAACTGTGGGGATTTCATATAATACCACGTCCATTTAGGAATTGCGACACTAAACGCATTTATATTTTTATTATTAATAGTGTTGCGACAATTTACAAAAAATTCTGAACCAATACGCATTGCTTTAAGAATATTTTGGATAGCCGTCAGTGCTATAGCCTACTACTCGTATACCCCGTGAAATAAATTGTTTAAATATATTTAACCAACGTTGTAAAATTTTTATACTTGTGATTTTATTATTTGTGCCATAGGCAAATAAAATAATAGATGAAGTCGTAAGATTAGTAATTGGTTGTACAACATAGATATTGACTAAAGTTGATTTAACTACTGTTCCATATAAATGTTCTAATTGTTCAAATGTTGTACATCGATATGCTTGTGGAACTGGTTCATCATTTACCATTGGGGTAACAAAGCCTGTAAAACAATTTTTATTTACATCGTATTCTACTCTTGGAATAATACCAGTACAATCTTCTGATATAAATACATTTGAACAATTAATTAACTTCATATGTTGTTCTACTTCATTATAACAAAACTCGGCTTCACTTAATTTTTCAAAACATAACTTATTGTTGAGCGATTGAATCGTTGGTAAAGCATATTGTAAAGGACGGGGGCGATTATTTGATGAAATCGGCCCGTGTTCCAATTCCATCGAAACGCACATGGTTAGATGCAGAATAAACAGCAGAACATTTCTAACCACTCGACAGACCTTGGAGTTACTCTAAGAAAAAACTAGGTCGAATATACTATAACCAAAGTTCTTCTCTTCTTTCTGCAACGGTGACAATCCGGTGCTCCACACTTCACCACTAACCACGACGATACATACACCATTCGATAGAGAATTTCTCGCGCTACAATTGCATATATACAAACTGATGAGAAAAGTGTCCTAGGGCATCTTGGCATTAGAAATACTTTATGCAAAGCCGCAGCAAGTGGGTGATTTATTGAACGGAGACGATCCTGTACCCCACACCTGACCACTATCCACGACCATGCATATACCATTCGGTAGAGAATTTCTCGCGCTACAATTGCATATATACAAAGTGGTGAGAAAAGTGTCCTCGGACCCCTTGACATTAGAAATACTGTCTCGAAAGCCGTGAAAAGTGGGTGGCTTATTTCACGGTGACGATCCTGTGCTTCACACTTGTCCACTAACCACGACGATAGATATACCATTCAATAGAGAATTTCACGAGCTTCAAGATGAGTGATAAACAAGTCGTTCAGAAATATGCCCACATGAATCATTAGTTGAAATACTTGTCCGATATAATGATGCAACGGTGACAATCCTGTGCTCCACACTTCACCACTATCCACGACGATACATACACCATTCGACAGAGAATTTCTCGCGCTACAATTGCATATGTACAAAGTAGTGAAAAAACTGTCCTAGGGCATCTTGACACTAGAAATACTTCATGCAAAGCGGTAGCAAGTGGGTGATTTATTGAACGGAGTCGATCCTGTCACAGTGGGCATTTAGACGGCATTTTCTGAAAAAATGGTAGGTACGAAATTTTCTGTTTTGAATAGCGGTATATATAGTGTAAACAATGCCCTATTTAACAGTGAAGAAATTTTTGTTCTAGCTGCTTCCAAAGTGGAGAAAACCAAGTTACAAAATTACTAGCGGAATAGGCGTGTTGGTATTTAAAATTGCATTTTCTCCATCAAATTTGAATTTTTTTTGAAAAACAAACA